CATGACCAGCAAACCTACACCAGGAAACAGCCCCCCCCTCGGACCTCCTGGTTCATATCGAGCTGGTGTCAGCCCCAGTGCTGCAGGAAATTAATGAAAAGAAAGCTCAAAAGATGAAGACCGGATAGAGCAAAATAAAAAAGATGCTGCGATGGATGAACCGAGTACCAGGAGACACATCAGCAGAAAAAAAACACAGAACTTTAGACAGTGACTGTAATGAGTTCCCGTCAATACACACACAAGACAAATCAGGAGTCAGTCCCACATCAATTAGGATGTTTCTCCTCATTTTTTATATCAAATAACCAACAAAAATCAAACGTATCAATCTAACATAATTTATGTGCATTTTGCAAATAATAATAATGCATATTGAAGGAAAACTTGTTTAAATGTTTTGGGTAATGTGTTTATTCACTTTCTTTATGACTGTTGCGGTAGATTGAGACCACTTTCATTTCTTTTCCAAATATGGTTTACTGCAAGAAGCTAATTAGCTTATCTTAGCATAACAATTGAAAACATTGGGGTGAAACATTTTCCCTTTTTCAAAGATGACAGAATCAGCCTCTAAACACCTCTTCAGCTTACAAATTTAAAAAAAAATGTTTTGAACATGATCATGATCATGATCTGTCCCTCCTCTTCATCCCTCCTCCTCCTCATTGTCTCTTCGTCTGGTGTTAAACAATAGCGACAGATGGTCACTCCTCTCACTGGCTGAACCCCAACACAAACATTTATGCAATCTTTTCATGAATTGACTGGATCCTTCCCTGGACCGGATCTCCCCCAGAAAACCTAAGATGCTTATAGAGACAATTCCATCATCAGTGAAGGTCAATTACAAACAGGACGTAACAGTTTGTTAAACATGTCAAAATAAATGCATGATTTCTCACTGTTTCTTCTCCATCCAGCATCACACATTCGTGTTTGTTAATAATAAATAATATCTACACACACTTCTACCTAAACGTAATGTACTCACTCTCGGTAGTAATATAAAAACTTTCAACCTGACATAGGTTACTGAAAAACAACCTTCAAATCTCCTCTAACCTCAGATAATTTTCATCAGCAGATTGGGTTTGCAATTTAAGGACCATTAATCTTAAATGTTAAGATTCATGACGTCTTGTGGGAAAGCTCAAAATAAATGTTCATCAACTGTCCATCTCTTGATGAGAATCATGCGATAAGACTGAAAGCTCCAGAAAGCTCTGACTGCTGTTTACAAGATCAACAATGACCTTAACATTTTTGTTGTCATATTTCCTCAGCTACAGAAGTTTAAAGATGCTTTACTCAAACCAAATCCTGCAATATCCTCGCAAATACACACAAACTACCTAGGATGAGAACTGCAGTTACTGAGCATTTGATTCATGAGTCTTTCATTCATGTGTGTGTGTGTGTGTGTAGGTGCATGTATGTGTGTTAAAGCATCTAATCAAGGAGAAAGGAGGTGCTGCTGCACTGAATGAACTCTTGTTTCACCGAGCAGAGACACTTGTCAAAATAAACCAACATGGGTCCATATACTGGTTCCTCAGATATGCGGTGTGTGTGTGTGCATGCAGACACACTTCAAACACCACCTGACATAAATCTAAAAGCACCAGATAAACACACACTCAAAGGCAACATTTTCCTCTGTAAATAGCTTTACATCTAAATTAATGTCTTTTCACTCCCTGTGTTGTAAAAATATTTACAGAGGGGGAAAAAAACAGGATTCATATCCACATGGCTCCACTTTTGACCTGAAATGCAGTGTCGTCACATGATAAAAACCTTCCTTCATGCTTGCAGCCTCCAGCCTGACTCCCACCTCACACACTCCCCTCCCTGTCCGCCCGGCTGTCTCTTCTCCCTGCCTCACAGTGGGAGGATGTAGATTTCTATGAGGATCTTGCAGCTTCTACTTGCTCCATATTTTTCTTTTGGAGCCCAGTGAATGATGGAAGCCAGTCTTCTGGAAGCTGTTTGGACTGAGAGAATTTCTTATTGATGAGGAGGAGAAGAAGATTGACTGGAAGTTGCAGGGGAGTTTTGTGAATGTTTGCAGGTAGGAAAGTTTTTATTTTTATTTTTATTTTTTTTTCTTGCTTCATTTTTGTTTTTGCAATTTTTGTATCATTGATGCACAAAGTTAGAATCTTTACAAAATAAAATCACACAACCCTAGGCTATAGCTTTTCTCCTCATATGTTCTAAAGCTATTTTCTTCTGCATTAATCTGCACTATAATCTGAATTATATTTGACTTCTAGCTGTCTTTGAATCATTTGTAATAACAATATCACCCCAGCTTCCATTATTATCAGATGATTGATTGATTTCAGCAGTAATAGTGTAACAATGTTACCTTTACCGTTTGTTCAGTTGCAGACACCCTGACAATTTAAAAAAAGACATCACAGACATTACAAACTTTTTTGCCAAGAGATTTGTTCAGAAATTGAGCTTGTGCGCCCTCTGCTGGCTTAATAAGTCATAATAAAGAGCCTGCTGGTCCTGATGGACTCATTGCTGTTTCATTTTCTCTATTATTTGTTTAAAACAGTTCTGCAAGGTTAATTCTTTTCAACACTGAGTAATACCTCCTCTTCCTTGTCTCTTTCTTTCCAGTGGAATGGGCCTCCTATACCTTCAGTATCTGCTGCTCTGTGCAGCCGCCCTCACACTTTCTGGAGCGTTTGCCAAAGATGAAGGCAGCGAGTCCGACAGGTGGACCAGGCAGAGCCTCCCGGTGCTGCTGGACACGCACACGCAGCTTTTAAACACCCTGTCGTTCAGAGGGCAGGAGGAGGATGAGGAGAAAGCCAATGCAAAGATGCTCTGTGGGATCGAGTGTCAAGAAAACTTACCACCTGTAGACCAGATGGAGCAAGAGAGGATTCTGGGATATGAGACAATGTATGAGAACGGCACGCGTACACATACAGATATCAGCTTGCAAGGTTTTGATAACAAGTCCACAGGAATGCCAGCCCACTCAGAGATCCACACAAGAAGGAAGCGACAGGTTTACGGAGCAGACGGACGCTTCGTAATCTCCGACTCACATTTTATCACCAACTACCCATTCTCCACCGCAGTTCGTCTCTCCACCGGCTGCTCTGGAGTCCTGGTGTCCCCAAAACATGTGCTGACGGCGGCACACTGCATCCACGATGGCGCCGACTACCTGGAGAGTGCCAGAAGCCTCAAAGTAGGAGTGCTGCAGCTCAAAAGCAAAAGAAGAAGAGGAGGACGGAGAAGAGGAGAGCGACAGAGGGGTGGGAGAAGAGGAGATAAGAAGATCATGGAGGAAGGTGAGGAGAAGAATAGCATAGATGGAGATGTGGCAAGAGGCAGAAATGGGAGACGCAGAGGAAGAAGGCTGGAAGGTCATGTGGAAGCTGGTGCTGGAAATATTGAAAGAGGAAGGAAACGTAAAGGCCTCAGCCGCGTTCGACGTAGCATCGAACCGAGGAAGCAACCCGTCTTCCGTTGGACGCGAGTTAAAAGAACCGAAATCCCTCAAGGATGGATCCATGGCAAGGACTCCATCAACTCTGTCTCTTCTGACTACGACTACGCCCTTCTGGAGCTAAAACGACAAGTCAAACAGAAGCCCATGGCGCTCGGAGTGGCTCCCTCCACCGTTCCACTGGCAAGGATCCACTTCTCAGGCTACGACGCAGACAAAAGCCTGCTGGACGGGCGCGGAGACGAGAAGGTGGTTTATCGTTTTTGCTCAGTGGCAAAGGAGTCCGACAACCTGATGTACCAGTGGTGCGACGCACAGCCTGGTGCAACTGGCGCCGGTGTTTATGTTCGTCTGAGGCAGGAGGCTGGAGATGCTGGTGGGAAAGGGAAGTGGCAGAGGAGGGTGATCGGAGTGTTCTCAGGCCATCGGTGGGTGGAGGTGGAAGGAGGTGAGCTGAGGGACTTTAACGTTGCCGTTAGGATCACTCCGGCCAAATATGCCCAGATTTGTCACTGGATCCACGGAGATCCAAGTCTCTGCAAAGAGGTCTGAACTTCCAGAGCAATGGATCTACAAAGAGGAAAAGATTTGACGTCACTTTTTAAAGGACTCTAAGATCCCGAAATTGGTCTTAAGAAAGTTCTGTAGGTATTTTTCTCATGTGGTGACTGCAATGTTTTATAATTGTTGTAAACTATATGGATAGGACATCATCATGCCCTCCCTCCCTCCTTCAAGCACTGAAACGGTCAATAGAGACGCCTCCAAACCAAACCTCTATCTAAGACTACCCATCATTTACTGTAATCAACATTACTGCAACATTATGCTGCAAATTACAAGAAGAAGAATGTTTAAAAATATATATCTCCTGTACAGTTACACTATATAATAAGTGCTATTTGGGATATGCATTAATATAGTGGTAAATATTGACCTGAAGATAAAACGGTACTCCACCCATTTTTCAGTACATTAACATTGTTGGACTCACAAAATCCAAAAAGGTTTTCTCCCTTGTCAAATTCATTTCCCACAATTCCTCTCAACCTGGTGTGTGTGTTTGTGTGACCTACACAGGTCAGATTTTTGTTGTGTTATTGGTGGACAATGGAGGTCTGGTTCTTTGTGTCAGCAACCCAAGATATTTTTTCTCTTTGTCAGTTTAAGTAATTTACTGGCAACTTTATACATTGATAATAAGTTTAATTTATATTTTCTAAGTTATGTTATTCATCATCTTCCATCTTCAGGATTCTTGTATTTCATAGCTCAGCTAATGTGGTTAGTACTGACATTCTTATGACAACAAAATAAAAATAAGGGTAAAACAAACAGACACCAACATCTGAACAACAAGCTGTAAAAAGATTACAACCTCCATAATTTCAGTTTATGTAAAAGGAAAGACAACATCTTATTGTTTTGTGTGTTTGTGTGTATAATGTCTTGTGTTGTTTGATAATACACAACAAATAAAAAATTTTAAATTTTAAAGACCAAGCAGACCAGAGATAAGTGATGAGCCGTGAGGATGGTTTGGATCAGTGTATTTCTCTTTTATTGCATCTCATTTGGACTCACATGCAGGTGGGGGGAGGGAGGGAGATAGGGCGATGCCATCCATAATAACCCGAAATAAAATAAAACTTTAAAAAAACAAAAAAAACATCACAGCCTTCATATGAATACTCGGCAAACATTATTTACCCACATTCTTTTTGATTTCATGTGTCATAGTCGTCTTTATTTTTCTTTCAACACGTCGTTAATGCCACAATGGATTAAGATACAGTCACTTTTGGAAAGAAACAACACACAGAACATCCAGCGTATACTTGAGTCCCCAAGACTTCCAGTGACCATGTTCCAATCAGATGCTTCCTTGTCTCTTTCGTCATTCCATATGGCGACTGAGAGAGCACTCTGCAGGATGCATCCTAGATTGACCAGTGCTGCACGCTACAATGCAAAATCACTCCACACCAGCAGAGGGCGGAACAGTAAACACAAGTTTCCATTCAATACTGACTCCCGACTACAGATTGAGAGATATGTACAAAGAAGGAGGGAACGGTTTTGAGTCTACTTGCCTTTTTTTCTCAACCATATAATTTGACATAACTAAAAATATATGATACGTTTTTGTATATTCTCAAAATAAAGAAAATATGTATAATCTATCATTTAAAATATGTCGATTTGAACACATTTCACAAACTTTTGTGTGTTCGTGCGATCCCTACAAAACCATAAAGTTAAAACGAAACCAGATGTGTTCAAAGAGAAGTCCAGAATTAGATTGCAAGTTGTGTTCAGGTACATTTTGGATTAATAACAGGTGGGAGGATGGATGGCCGAGCAGGAACAACCAAGTCTTCAATGACATAAACATAGCTCAGTATTAGTTTGGATGACATGGGTTAAGGAGTGGGAGTGGGGGGGTTGGCCAGTGAAGTTACACACACTGAACACAGTCCACATTTAACAACACAGTCCTCATCTGGGAGATGCGCAAAGAAACCAACATATATCCACCATTCCAAGTCAGCTGATATGCAGATATCCAGAATGAATCTAAATACACATTAATTTGTTTTTTTTGTTCGTTTTTTTCCAGTGGTATATTAAGTAAAGGTTAACACTGAATAACACGCACACCCACACACACATAAACTGAATTTTGTTTTCTGTATCTAGGGTTCACATTCACAGTTGTGCTACAACATTAGATAAGGAGGGGAGGGTTTGTTTTTTTAAGGGGGGTCGTGGCTGGTGGGAGTTCAGAGGGCAACGGTTGTAGATGTGATGGCTTGTTGGCTGAAGGGGTCGTGGTGTGATGGAGGGGAGGCAGTGGGGAAGTGCAGACGTCCACATCCACGGAGCTCCAGATACAATAAACCTGCAGAGACAGAGAGCAACAGTGAGGTCCAAATGGGAGCCCACCCAACACATAAAATGAAAAAGATTATTCAACTTTCACACTCAAACACAAACAAATACCCCCCAAAAAACAGGGGGCCTATGTCCGACATATGTTACTGGTAGTAGAGTTACAATTTAAATACATAACCCTTTGGTTCTCTTAATTTCCAAATGGTGATATATTTTATCTTGTACGTGCAAAATATTAACTTGTTCGAACTCGATAAATATATTGTGCCCTCGCCAAGATTTATTTTCACCTTTGAATGTCACATAATGAAATTCTTGCTGCTCTTAAAAGCTATAAAAACAGCCATGTCCATGAGCAAATTATGCCTTTACTATGAAAATATTATTGCTCCCACAAGCCAATTATCTTGAGCAAACAAGATACTTATTTTGTTTGCACAAGATGAAATCAATTATTACTTGTCAGGAGCTCTTTAATAACACAATCAAAACAATGTGCCTTCATTCTACTCATCCCACTTTTCAAGTTGTGTGTTAGTCCAGTTGCTCAAATATCCACTGTCCTCTGCATCAGTTGCACTACAACATATAACACTTACACATTGATCTCTCCAGCAATTTATTGTTTCACTTTTGACAGGACTGCCCGAAAGTGAAGATCTTCTTACTTTAACAAGGGTGAAGTGTTTTTTCGTGAAGTAGTGAAAAAGAAAATGTCCCTTTTAAGATTGTTTCATTACAGATATTTATAGAGTCGATTGCATCAAGTATTTCACAAAAAACATCTGTCCTTTTATTCATTTAGTGATCCAATATTTATATCAAAGGAACCACTGGATGAACGCACATTAATCTTGTCAGCTCAGCATGATACAACATAAAACATGTAAAGACATGCCATGTCTACCTTGGGGGGTTTCGGGCCAGTCCGTCTACATGAAGTCTTTAATATTGAGGTCATCCAGAGCGTTCCTGGGAGGTGGAGGCTTTCTGGGGCTCTGGGCCGCTCCAGGAGACATCTGCAGACACAATTACTTTCAGCAATTCCATTTCTTTAGTTACAGCAGCTGTATAGATATGAATGTGTCATTCATGTGTATTTAATCCATTTAAGAGTGAGCGTGTTACCGGTGCTCCGGGTGTCGCTCCGGTGGCTGGGAAACCTGGCCTCACCATGGGCATCATGGGAGCTCCAACACCCGGTGCTCCGGGCTTACACACAGATACGGACAAAAGGAAAAAGAGAAAATGAGACAAAGCGTCCACCTTCAGAGGGGAGGGAGGGACACCTATAGGGAGGGGGGGTCATTGTCCATCAGTGTCCAGTAATGTCCATGTGACTAGTATAGGAACATTACTGGACTGGACTGGTGGTCTTACCATGCTGAAGCAGGGGTGAGTCCCCATAAAAGGAGGGACACCCATTGGTATAGTCTAAAGGTGGGGAGGGAGGGTAGGAGAGGGGAGGGAGGGGAGGAGTTGGGATGTTACAACACTACATAGAAGACAGACACACACTGCAAAGCAATGTATACACACACCGATAACCAAAGAGTACACAATTCACAACATACAAAAGTAATGGTGAAAACAGACGAGCACACCAAATAAAGACAAACACGACACAACAAAAACCCTCTTTAACCTATGAGCTCTTATCCTCTATTCACACATGCATGGAGTTAAAGTGCAGAGAGGAAGCTGGCTGCAGGAAGCCTTCACACGAGAGTACTGTGGCCAAAAAGACGACTGAAATATCCAAAAGAAGCAAATCTGTACATGGAAGACTGAGTTCAGCAATGAGGGAGAACCAGCCGGTGTCTTTCCTGGACGCTATCAGGCTTTACTCAAGAGAAGAAGAAGCTGTTTCCAAGCAACAGCTTCTTAATTTGCCACTTCATCACTCTCCAGTACATATTGCGGAAATATAAAAACTTTTTTTGGAGCAGATTGAATGTTATTACTCAAAACTAAATATCTGCCCCTGCTTTTGATAATTCTCTCATTTACTAGCAGCTCATGTGATCTGTTAGAGATTCAATAGGATGTGTCATTTAAATAAACTCCACCAGAGTTATGCTACACGTCTCGTTTCAACACAACACCTCAGTTTCCGAGAGCTCTGTAATGAGGCACTGGAACCTGGAGAGCCAGATGAAGGATAATGCTTTTCGATTGCTGCTACAGGTTACGCCCTGTCTGTCGCTGCCATGCGGCTCCACTCCATGCTATAAGACACAGACAACATTTACCATGGGAGCACCCCAACTGGGGGGAGCTACCTGAGGGGCCGCTGTGGTTCCCATTGAGAGATCTGAGACAAAAACAGAGAGAGAGAGAGAAAGAAAGAGGAAGAGAGGTACTGCAAATCACTGTTTTCATTTACTGACAGTATTATTAACACACAGGACTTGATGCACAAGTTACAAGTGAATTAAAGGAGTAGTTCAAGATTCTAGGAAAACGTTTTACTCATTTTGTATCTGAGAGTTAGAGGAGAAGATCAATACCAGTCACATTTGTTAGTTTAGTGCAGAGCTCGAGCCAGGAGACATTTATTTTACTGTAGCTTAGCATAAAGACTTAGTTAGCCTGACTCTCTCCAAAGTTGATGAATAAACATATTGTATCTGTATTGAATAAGCTTCGAGGTAGCTACGTCCACCAAGAAAGTGGTGTTTGTCTGATCCTGTTTCTTGGTTAAATTTTGATTGAAGGAGCATTTTAGAACTTTGGAGAAAGCCAAGCCAGCTGTTCCCGCCTGTTCTCAATATAAGATATTCTAAGCTTATCACCACCCTGCTCTAAATCCATATTTAAGGCCCAGGCATGAGACTAGAATTTATTGATCTCCTACCTTGCTCTAAAAAAAAGCTTATTTCTCAAGATGCATAACACTTTCTTTCAATCAGTATCTACGACATCTAAATGACTACTTACTACTCGCCATGTTAGCCATAGAGGTGTCAACATCGCCTGCTTGAGGAGTCACAGTGGGCTTCATTACATCTCCTAGGCCATCAAATACTACAGGAGGGAAGAGGGTGGGGAGGGAGGGAGTTGAGGGGAGACGAAGGGAGATATTAGCATCCTTCAATGCAGGCTATCCTCACGCTCAGCAGCATACTACTAGGCATTGCCATGACAACCAATAGGTGTCTCCATGACAACAGAGAGAGGAGAGGAGCACTGGAATGTGAACTGCTATGGGGAGTGATAAAACATAAAGTATCTTCTAAAGAAATCAGTTAAATTGCCAATTTTGTTGTAATTATATGAAAAAACACCATTTAAATAAATAGTCTGTAAAAAGACTGACATTTAAATGGTTGTAGTATTTCATATTGTAATTTCTGCTGCAGGAGACAAGTGTCAGCTCCTTGATACTATTCACGAATCAAAAAATATGAACAAATCTGACTCTAAAAGTGTCTGGTATAATTATAAAGTAGAATTTGTTACCACAAACTGTGACAAACTGTTATACTTATGTTCAATAAGTCACAATCCTAACATCATATTCGGTGTCAATAAAACATTTTCAGTGGGTGTGGATAAATATTAATATTTTCATTGTATGTGTATGAGTGCAGGAGGAATTAAGGCAAAAGCACTGCAGCTGAAATGAAGCTAGAGAAGTGCTAAATATCGCTGCTACTTCACAGTCACTTTGTAAGCATCACGCATCTGGTGGTGGAAGGGACAGTGCAGCTGAGCTTGCCGTGCTGCATTGCAGCAGTGCACTGTGGGAAATTAGCGTGTTAAAGAGCAAGGGAAACTCACCCAATCAAATGGCAGGAAGCAAGCAATGAGCCAGCCCAATAGCCAGATGGAGAAAGAGAGGGAGAGGGTGAGAGAGAGAGGAAAGTAAAAAGCAGAGATGCCAGAGAGAGAGAGAGAAAAAAATGCAATGAGGTTTTAAAGGAGCGGGTGATAATGAAACAATGAGATGTTATTGCACCAGTGACAGAGAAAAGGGGGGAAAGAAAGAGTTACGCCTCAAAGCAGTAGTATCGCAACCATCAGTTATACAACATGGAAGCCAGTGGCACAGGACAGGAGATGACCAGCAACCAGGTGAGCAGGGCGCATGTTGCAAAGGTAGCCGTTACCATGGTTACCAATTGAACAGTCCCGTAATGTGGGGAAGACAGGATGGAGTTCCCCGAAGACTAACAACAGTGGGACTATGATGCAATGATGATGCCATAGGACTTTAACAACATAAGACTTTAACACACAACAACAAGCACTCGTTAGAAAAAAAAAACTTAATATGGAATACAATTTAATTATACAATACGATTTAATGAAGGTTAGTTAACGACAAACTATTTCATTACCAAATATAATAGAGACAGTAGCTTGTTAACAATCAAATTAAAGATGTCAAGAAACTGGCTCTAAATTACACCATATATTAATATAATGTTAAGACAGACGCACAACTGCGGCGCATGCGATTACTAATGGGTTATTAATATCTGCAGTGGTGCGTTTCAGTGATATTGAAATATGTAACATGGACATCAATACTCAGACAATTGACCTTATTCAGAATAAGACATTATTTGGATTATGGTGTTAACATGAGGTGGTAATAGAGATTCATACATTTTATTTAAATGTTTACATGTTACAGAGCATGTAGTCTATGACTGATTAGGCTATTACGTCCAACATTATTCTGCTTTTTAAAAAAACCCAACCTGGCATAGTTTAATGCTGACACAATTTTGGGTGTATTCTTACTAATTTTGCAAAATCTCCAATTCCTTTTTGTATCACCAAGCTGTTGGTTACTGTATGTCCATGTATGTATGTCGATGCGACTCCAAATCTCCAATGTGACTAAGGTGAGAACACTCCACATGTATTAGTTTGATTATTAATTATTCCAAGTTTGACTTAAATCAGCTAATTGGGTTAGTTAATTGGGTTAATATGGAAATATTGGTGTCCATGCAAACATATTCATGTTGATATGCCCTCATCTGTACACATATACATGCAAGCTGGCACTTTACACCTGAGGGATTTTTTACCTGACATGAGCTCAGCACCGGGGGCAGCGGGAGCGGCAGCAGCTGAGGCGTCTCCTCCTGTAGAATCTGGCAGGTCAACGCAAACCAAACCAAACCATAACCATGCCAGGACAAAGTGCAGTTTCCATCGCAGCATAAGGGCAAAGAAGGGGTATTAATCAGCCTCCAGCTTCACACTGGTAATGCCAAACAAAAGTGTGAAGAATTAGAGAGGAAGGCAGAAAGGATAAATATATAAAGAATCACATTCATTTTTACCACTGACAAATATTGCTTTTGGAATTATACACACTCTTTCAACAGGCACAAAAAAGCATTTACAATTTTTTTTTATCATCATAACACTTTAAGATAAAGAAGAAAGAACAACAAATAAAAGATAAGATGAAAATCTGGAGTCATTACTTGCATCTCATAAATAATTCAACTATTTAAACATGACCAAGCTTCATCTGTTTGTTATACTTTCATGAACTTCCCACCAAGAAGACAATCTACAAGTTTAAACTAAGACACAACGGTGGTATCAGTCTCAAACATTTCCTTCTATGTTCTCTTCTTGATGCTCTCATGAACAGGGGAATCTGAGTGAGAGCAGACCGTGATGTGAGTTACCCACCACCAAACAGGTTCATGATGGCTCCCGTGTCAGGTTTGGATGGGGGAGCGGAGGAAAAGATGGGGTCAGGGGAGATGAACACATCTGCTGGGGAGGGCAAGGTGGAGATGATGTTTAGAGCCTCGACACACACACTCAACTTCACGCTTATATACACACACACTCATCAACTGCAAATGCAGCGCACGCGGTACATGCTGGAAAATGGGAGAGGAGGTCGAAGTGATTTAGTAAACCGTTCAGACAGCTCAATAGCTTTTAGCTGACCCATAAGAGAGCAATCTCCTTTCCCTGATCACAGCCAAGGACAAAGCTGGAGAAAAAAACACACACACACACACGGCAAGACAGGATATGAGAGAGGGAACACACGTGAGATGGCAGACTGGGTGCAATACCTGCTGTAAACAAGTCAACACTAGGAGCGAGGTCTGCTTTGGTGAAACTTGGGTCTGGCATGGAATCAAAGAGATCTACAAACACATGCGCACCCGAAGACAGGGATATTAAAATTCTCAGACACATTGAAATGAAGGTGACGTTCACACACAGCAGCCACGGTGAAATGAAAGAGGCCTTCAGCATGTGCATGTTAGTCTGATGAAATCAATAAAGAAGAACAAAAGAGGGGTAATGGCAGAGGAGAGGATGGCAGGCAGGCTAGAGAGCCAGGGAGATGCCAGTCAATACGACCAGACAGTGAGATCAGAACCATACACATCGCTAACATTTACCGCTTAAAAGGTCAGTCGTAGGGTTGGCGGCGCTGGGGGCTATGGGAGCTGAAATGGTTGCGATGGTGGTGATGGTGCTGGATGTGGAGGTGAAGAGCGGTGAAGGGGAAGGGGAGGGGGAGGGCGGGGGCATCGCCGAGCTAAAGCAGGCCTCCAGCGAGCTACCCAGGTTATTATTCTCCACTGTCATCATGCCGAAAAGGTCTACACCCGCAGACGCTGCGCTGATGTTACCGTCTGAGGGAGTGAAGGGGTCTTTGGGGAAGAAGTGGGATGGGGTGGCACATGAAGAGGGAGGGGGAAAGGTTAGACAGTCTGGTTTAATAAAAATCAATGTGTCATATGATGATGATGAAAATACTGCTCTAATCATGAAAGCTGAGGAGAGAGAAATGAAAAAGCACAAGAGGGGACTGATAGGAGGAGAAGATGTGCAGAGCTCAAACATGTTGACGCTAAAAGGGCGAAAAGATTTGAGACCGAAACACTGAAGAAATTCCCTCACAGTCCATAAACCTATGAAACAAACAACAACCTAATCGCAACTACAACCACCAACTGCCCCTGGCAACATTCTCCGTTAGAGAAAAAGCACAAATCTTCTGAAGCTGAAAGATAAGAGGCAAGAGCATTGTCCGCATTGGTAACAACAATAGCACTGTCAAGACAACACCAGCAGTAATGAATAGTGGATCTTGAGACACACACACACACACACTGTTCTGTAAGTTATTAAACATCTTTTTGTTCATGGCTGTGATACTCAATGTAATTTTAGGTCTTGACTCAGTGAGCTGAAGCTGAAGCTAAATAAGTAAGAGAGGGAGAGGTAAATTTGAAGCCACTTTGTCCGTATGTTAAAGGAGACATAATATGATCGTATTCAGATTCATATTTTTAATTTGTGTTATTACTTGAAATTGTTTACTCTAATGTTCAGAACACATCACTGTCCTCATAGTGTCCATTGCTGCAGCTCCTCTTTTCAGCCTCTGTCTGAAACACTTGGTTCTAGCTCCCCTCCTGACAAAGCCCAGTCTGCTCTGATTGGCTCAGGCCAACATGTGTGTGTAGAAGAAGTCAGCCTTGTGCCAGAATAGCCGCTAGGTGTGCATAATGCTAATTTGAGGTATTGATATCACAGAAGCATAGACCACAACTGATAAGGTGTTTCAGGAGCAGAGGAGCTCACTTTACCACAAACTTTAGGCTTTTTGACTTTGCAGACCTTTTCCATTCACAAAAAAATCAACTAACACACTGGAGGACAGAGAGACTGAAAAAGTCACCTTAGATAAAAACATACCACCAGCAGTTGGTTTGCTTAATTTGAACGAGGGGAAACTGTTATTGTGTTTCGAAACTGTTATAGCGTTTCTCTCTGGAGGTAAAAACGTCCATTACAGCAACTCTGCTTTCCACCACTGACTCAAACACAAAGTCTCTCACACACACAAACAGATTCTCAGTCACCCACCAGCTCCAGTGTTGGCGGCTGGGGCAGACGTAGCTGCAGCCCCACCTTCGGCGGCTGCTGCAGAGGCCTCAGTGGCAGGTGCAGGTGTTGCAAAGGCATCTGAGGTTCAGACAAACCCCAGCAGAGGACAGAGATGCCCAGATAGACAGAGACAGATAAGGAGATAAAGAGGAAACAGGGAGGAGAAGAGAAAGGAAAATAAAGGTAAGATTGCAGTATTTAAAGAGGAAATAGAAAGTAATCAGCACTTGTTGCATTAAGTATTGAACTGTAGTGTACAGCAGCATTTATACATGACATTGACACTGACAGGTGAATGGACAAATGGAAATACAGACAGGAGGCACTACAGCAAAGAATATTTTAGTGCACCAAGAGCAGACTAAGCCTGAAATCTACAAGTGTTACAGCTGCCATCTGTAGCTGTATCCACGTGACAGGGTTTGATAGAATTGCTTTTCACTGAGATGGAAGAAAAGCATGCCGGGCTATCAAACCCTAAGCTTGTGGAGAATGAGTTTAGCAGTATGCTTATGTGTGCGTGCAGGCCGAGAGTGTGTGGCTGTACATTATTACATCATCATAAATACTCAGTTTGTGAAGTAATTGTAGAGGAATGTTGTATCTACATATGGGTGTGTGGGGGGAGATTTCAAGAATAATGCTGTAATATAAGGAGAAATGCATGACTGCTTATTTTCTATTGTTTATTTTTGTAAGATAATGACTTTATTCTCGTAAATGTACAACTTTTTGTCTCATAAGATTATGACTTTATTCTTGAAATCTCAGTTTTTTCCACTTCAAGTGGCCCTAAGAATCTGTCAAAGTATTGAGTCACAATGTGGTTATTGAATAACTTCTAAATAATACTCATTTTTTTACCTTACTTTTACAGTATACATTTTTGAATTTATTCAACAACCTTACATCAAACATTTGCTCCTATTTCATGAGGCCATTTTCCCCAATGACACTTTATATTATTATAACTGTTTCAGCCAATTTTACAGCAGTCAGCTCCATTTGGCATTTTCTAAAGAAAGACACAAAGACAGTCTTTCCCGGTGGTGTTATTTTACAACAATGACCCCTAGTCTCAGAATTTGAATTTTAGAATATTATTAGAATAGAATTTGAATATATCGTTGTTGTCCACCAAGGTGTAAATGTGTCTTCCACTCACCTAACACAAGAAAAACAACATAAAAAACGAACAAAGCAATTAGTGAAACTAACACATGGCCAAAGTTATCTTTGGCCTTAAATTTTACACAATTTATAAACATCATTATTCCATTACTTATTTATTCACTTTGTATTGAATACCTATTGGCTGTAAAATTTTGAGATAGCTGAGAATGATGGATGTGTGCATCAGTGTATCAGTAGGAGTTGACTGGAGTTGATAATGTAACTTTGCTTGCAGGATAAAAACAATATCACAGCAAAGTTCTGTCAACAAACTCTTTGTGTTTGTACATGCATGTGTGTGTTTTCATATTGCATGATGTCTTTAGGGTTGAGCTTCCCAGAGTGATTCTTTCATAGAGAATTTTCTGGAAGCTCACTGACCTCCCAACAGATCCATATTGGCGGCGCCAGGGGAGGTGGCAGCTGCTGTGCTAGTGGGAGGAGCTAGAGAGACTCCGGGTTCTGCTGCTGCAGGAGTGGGCGTTGCTGCTGCAGAGGAGGGGGCGGGCTCTGCTGTGAGGGTGGGTTCAGATAGCAAGGAATCGCCCATTTCTGCGAGTACCAACGTTCGAAATCCCAAAAGAAAGGCACCAAAACAAATCCCCCCCAAAAAACAACAAAAATAACCAATTGAGTCACCGTTCAGGACAGTGAACCAAATCAAACCGAAACAAAGGTCAAATCCAAATTAAAACACAAATTAGATCGTTTGGAATCGACAGATAAAAATAATAATTTTTAACCAAATTAAAGTTGAATAAACACCATCCGGTCATAATCAACAAATAAAATACAACCAACCAAAAAAGCCCCCATCGAAAACCAAAAATAGACAATGAAATATGTGGAGGGAGGGAGGAGAGGGAAGGCAGAGAGAAACAAAGACACCACTCAGACTAAAGAGAACAGCTTGAGGAGACAAACAGGGAGGTAACAGTGTCCTACTGGTACAGTCATGACTATCTGAAAACTCTGGATTTGAAATTAATGGTGTTTTCAGGATACGTCATTAAAGTTGGTTGAAAAAGAGAATCAATTACATTGAGGTCTATGCTAGAGGCTGGAGGTGAAGCAAAGAGTGACACTCACCTGATCCAAGAAGATCTATGGAAGCAGAATACAGGAGGAAATACATATTTTATTAAACTTAATTTGAAAGAGTTAATTTAAATGCACACATTTCAAATGACAAACTCATCCATCAAGATGGACTGCAATAAAAGTAAATTAATTTTGATTACATCCACAATACAATGTAAATTAATGTGATTTGACATGAAGGAGGAAGACTTACCTCCCCAAGATGTGGGGGCAGCTGATGGTGCTGAGGGACCTGAGGAGGACAGAGGATCCAGGTCCAACAAGGAACTGTAGAATTGGGAAGAAATAAGGAGAGGGAATGATGTAACGTTCTTTCTTTCTGTTGTTCTCGTTTCAGCTTGGTTGATTTTTAGTTGCACAGGTAATTGGTAATAAACCAAAGTATTAGGAACGTAAAAACCTTGACCTGATGATGGAGCAAAAGTTAAGGGATGATTAAAGTTGTTTGATTTATCCTAGGGAAGATTCATTATTAAACATTTCACTCAAAACCAAAAATATCCACCTCATGGCACCAGAGGAGAAGTCAGTGGATTCCTAATTGTCAATTGGGTTCATCCTCTGTGGACCAGCCATGTCTGTTTACAATATAATGGCAATGTATCCAATCATTTTGAGAAGACTCAGCAACCTATAGTCAAAATTAATGACACAAATTATCTGAGAAATGATCTGCTACTACCAAAAACTGTATATAAACGCATCTACACCTCTCACTACCCAGAAATGAAGCCAAAATAATTAATATATAATTCAAATGCTGCCATTTTGCTCATATAGAGTCTGTGCAGTAATGATTGGGAGGTTTTGACTTCACTTCTGGTGGGCTATCTATCTTTATAACATTTTAAGTATTCTGTGCAACAATGTGTAGCGTACCCTAGATGACCTGACACAGAGAGGTTACAGAAAACAGTCACTTACTCTTCAACTGGTTCAGGAGCCGCTGAAGCTGCGGCACCAGCACTCTCCCCGGGAGGAGGCTGCAGTGTGGGAACAGCGTTTGAAGATTTGGCTGGAGTCGATGTTGGAGACACGTTGTTTGTCGGAGATCCCTGAAAGATAGACGAGGGAAACCTTGTTTTAATGGTGCATCAGACCAGAACAACTTAGAAAAAATAAAGAGTACATCGAAGGTGTATCATACCTTTGTTGGAGACCTGAAAGAGTAGAAGAGGAGGAGTTAGTGCTTGATTTGAAAAGGACAGGTATGTGTGGCAAACTGGAAACTATTTGATGGATCTATTATTATGTCTAAAAGTCTAAACTGAAGAAATCAAACAAATATGAAAGACAGGTTGAGTCATATGTGATCATATGAAGAGAGTTTAATTCCAAAGCACCATATTGTATGTCCGATGCATACACAATCACAATCACAATTTAAATTATTCTTACTTTGTGCGACCAGTAATTCAAACTTTGGAACAAAACCCTTCACATACCAGTTCACACTGCATGTCAGGATGGGAACACACATGTGGTGACTTACTGTTCATCAAAACATGTGTCTCTTGCAGAGTTCACACACGTGATCACATCAATACACACATTTCCACATGTGAACTTATAGTTACAGTAGTTGTGGTGCATAATTCACATGTGAATAATGTGTACGTTCACCTTAGGGAGGGAAATGGCTGTAAATACACAGTTTTCTAAGTAGTTAGGTAACTAAACATACAGCGTATGCTCACCCTTCACTGGTGAGTCCAAATGAACATAAATGGGGGATAAAAGAGAGGAAGGGTTAACGGAAATTATAGATATATAGCAGCCTATGCTATATGCTCTGTTTTCAACATTTCTCTCACTTATGTAAGTTTGTAGTGAGACAGCTCATGAAAAGCAAGGACTGAGTTTCCTCAGTGTCACCCTCATTTACTTCTGTTGTTATCTGGGTGTCAAACTGAGAGTAAAAAAAAAATGTTATTCAACATTTTCTTACCCCTTCTTTCCACCCTTTACGTCCTCCAGACCATTCATGTGTGTTTCCAGAGACTCGAGGATACTGCTGGGAGCCTGACAAAAATATCAAAACTGGGAGTAATAAATAAATGATCCTTTCTACATGTTTTCTGGGTCACACTCTCAGTCCATGTGTAGCCTACATTTCTATTTCCATAGAAAAACTAGTGTTAAAGCTTTGAGAATAACAGGGCGCCGGAAAATGTCACTGCAATTCCCACATGCATGCACAAACACACACACACACACGTTAGATTTTTTTGTGTTTGTCAAATTAAATTAAACATGCTGACACTCCATCTTGCAAACACACGCTCAACCAAGGCATTCCCAGTTTCCATGGTTACCGGGTCCTCCAGAGCTTTAAAAGGACAGTCTTCGTCATCTGAGTCTGCTAGATCCACTACTACCCCCGGGTGGAGACACTGGGTTGGGGAGATGGTGGTGGGTGAGACATGATGTGTGTGTGTGTTTGTGTGTGTGTGTGTGTGTGTGTTGGTTTGGGAGAGAGGTGGATTGGGTGGCATTCATGTGCATCATAGTCTTATCTCAATCCTTCCAGCAGGCAAACAATAAACATGTAGAGCCATTACATGTGTTTACTTACGTAGTTAATGTCAGGAATGTCATTTTTGTCAACTCCAACTGTCTGTTGAATAGAACAGAGTTAAAAATCAGCATAACCACACAGCTATATATATAATTATGGATGTATTTGAAGGACTCCCCTACCTCAGCCAGCTTCATGAATTCCCCAATCTTCGTCACCCTGGTCAGGAACCTCTTGTAGATCTCCAAGGCCTCCTTACAGTCACTCTTCTTCATCTTGAAGTATTTCTCTATGTAAAGAGCACAAGAGGTTTGCCAGTTCAGATTCATTGTGATACTTGGGTTGCCAGGCAAGAGGTACTCATGCACTTACTGACCTAATAGGTTGATGACGCCATCATTGTAGGATGCAAACAGTTTGACCAGGTCCTTGAAGAGAAGCAAAAATGCAGCATTGATGATCCCGTTGTTCAGCTCCTTGGGATGAACCTGAGAGGAGAGACCAATGACAAAACCAGTGACTAAACCGTCATCACGTGACAATGTCAATTAAAATAAGCCTAAATTGTACTTACATCGAACTCCATGAGTGTGTCAATCTGAGTCTGAAGAACAGGCATGCCTTTCAACAGCTTCTCAGTGGTCATGGTCCTCATCACGCCCTCAGCACTGAGAGAAGATTAGATATATAAATATTCCTCACAGATAAGAACAGCCATGGGGTGTAGCTCATGATAAGTGACAATATGGGACAAACAGCACAGACAGTGATGACCATGGTTAACATACCCCTTCTTGACTCTGGTGAAGTCAAAAGCCATCTGGCGATAGGCGAAAGCTTTCTCATTCAGGTATCGTCCATACCGTCTGATGAATGTAGACATGTCATAGCCTAAATAGAAAAATAGTTTTATGTCAACAAGTGCTTAACAAAAGAGGGCTCATTTTTGTTTAGTTTAAATATTCATCGAAAGGATGTAAACCCAATTTCTTTTAAACAGGGATAGCAAATTTAACTTGTACCACCTTCAGTGATTTTTTAAATGTAGGATTTGCATTGATTACATGCCTGTATACCGAAAACCGCTTTATTTGCATTTTGGGGTCTGTAATAAGATGCATATTCTAGGTTTTCCTTGTCCCAAGACAACACTATTTGCTAGAAATTGCATTAAAAAAAATGTGGTTGTGTAAAGTACAGTGAATGGTGGTGAAATTGTGCATTTTTAAAATATTTATCAGTGCTAATCCTTCAATAAACTTTGTATGCACGCTGCTTTTTTAAATGATCATAATCAAAACATTTTGTACCTGCTTGAAACCAAGTGTGTGGTAGCTGTGTGTATAGTTACATGTGTGTGTCCCTCCTGTAATTTGTGTGTATCTCTTGCTGTTTCTTTTTGCATTGCAAAATAATTAGAAAGATTATTCTCATCTGGATACATACATAATGTGTACACACAAGCATGCACCTACTCACACACGCACAATATCTGGTGTTCTTACCGTGAGAGCCGGTTTTGTCGATAAAGTTACTGAGGTTGAACAGGGAGGTCCTGGAAGCCAAGTACTGAATGAATCTCTGAGAAAGAGACAGAAAACACAGTATCTGTCAAAAGCAGTGAAGCACAGAATTTAATCTGAGCCCTACTACAGAGAAAACACATTAACACTTTGTCACTTCACTTTTCCAATGACATTTCAACACATCATAGTCCAGCTATGTAGCTATGTCGCCTCACAGCAAGAATGATTAAATCTCATCTTTCTGTGTGTTTGTATGATCTCCTTGTGTTTTTGTTGGCTTCCTCCAACTTCCTGCCACTGTCTGAAAACATGTTGATTGGGGTTATGTTAATTGGAGACTCTTAATAGTCCATTTGTGTGGATGTCAGTATCTTAGCCCTGTGATCCAATGGAAACCTGTTCAGGGTGTACACCACTAAACACCCAATGACCCCTGTCACCCTCAAAGGATAAGTGGTAAAGATAATGCATGGATGGATGACGGGTGGATGAACAGGTGGATATTCCAGCTTTTAGTGGTTCTGATTCCATTGATAGCTGCTTGCACATTGGACCCAAGGGACTCACTTCATTGTGGTCACAGCACCACACAAGACCTTTACCACAATCACACTCAAAGGACCAATATCATCGCTCCAAAGTTGTAACCTCAGTTATTTACCAACACATTTCTTAAACAGGTGGATAGGAGAATGACAAACCCCCTCATGATCAGTGCTTTTATATACTCTATGAGAAAGTAACTGTAGCTTTCATACGTGTCAAATCCTGCTGATTTAAAATGGAATAGGGTAAAGCTTGAACTGTGTTCAGTCCAGATTGGGCTGTATTATGCTCGCTCACCTCATTGCCGTGGACACACATGTGATGGCTGGTGACGAGGGCCTTGAACACGACCACCCAGCTGGCATTGGTGGCTCGCTCAAACAGCGTGTCAGCCATCTGAGGGATGTTCACGTTGGTAGTGTTGGTGGCCGACACCAGGTCTGCAAAAAGCATAGTCAAAGAGAAATGTTAGTAATTATACAATGGTTCGATAAATCTGTCCACTGATGCCTGGTGGCAGTGAGTGCTTTGCTGATTAGGGAAGTTTCGTACAATTTGGTATGTAAAGGAATGTCATGGTCAGTTTATTTGTAGACCTATGCGTACATAATTTCAATAGCTGTGATCAAACTTTGGTGTTAAAGCTAAATGTTCACTGCAGAGCTGCTGTTACAGAGACCCCTGAGAATATTAAGCCAGGAGAGGGACCTGACGCAAATACAAATTGATGTTGGTGCCCACTCACACGCACCCACTCACACACACACACACACTGGCACACGCTGACAATGCAGAAAGAGAGCGAATAGTGCTTTGTCATCTCCCCTCCCTGGTTGCCAGTTCAGACACTCAGACAGATAGAGAGGTCTCCTAAAGTAAAGTCTCTGAACCACTGCTCTAAGTGGAACACAATCTGTACAAGTGCAGTGGGATGTTAACACGGATCTCTCCTTCTGTGTTACATTGGCTGGTCACTAATGATCACACACTCAAACACTGAATCACAATTTCATAAATTGCCCAGAGATTTTAATTTTAAAAATACAAGAAACATATAATTTCTATTTCAGACACATTTTCACTTTGGTCTAAAGTTACATGTATGTGGAATATTTCTTGACCTCACAGCTGCAAGGCATAAAGAATGATATTTTCTCCTCTTCTGTGTCAAACATGACAATGTTTTAAACAACCAAAGATTTTAAAATGTCTGACAAATCTAACCAAACTCAATTGTGAAGCTGGAACCCGAGAATGTAAAGGATTTTGTCCGAAAAAGGACTTTGAAAATACCTAAAACATATCTGGCAACTAAATTCAAGTTTATCCACTATTATTGAATGATCAAATCAAGACAAATAAAAAATTTGTGGCCGACAATCAAATTTGCAAAATGTGACACCAGTGGCACACTTGTAATGAGCACGTGAGCAAGTCTTCAAAAAGTAGGCCACTGCTCAGCTGATGATGACACAGTCTTACAGCTTTATATCAACTACTTCTTTGGAAATATCAACATATCTAACAATTTATTTCTTCAATCTCAGAAACAGTGAGTGTGAGGCCACAGAAAGAGAAATATAAAGTTATAGCAACAAGAGGGTTTGGTTAAGCAAAGAAAAGAAATATTCAAGAAAAGTACAGGATGTATATGAATAATGCTATATACAGTACTCAATGTCCAATGTCTGGCATGCATCAAATAAATGTATTCAAGGGCAGATGTTGCATTGTTGCTGCCCCCCTGACATTGACAAACAAGAGCATATCCAAATAGGAATGCAGCAAATATTGGCAGGTACCTCTAATAATGGAAGGAGAGGAAGGCCGGTGTATTGAACAGGCCTTGGCCTTGCCTCAAGCAGCTAGATACAAAACTTCAGACCCAGAGAAGCAAGGTAATGAGCGAGGGAAGGAAGAGAAAGAGCACACGCTCAGAGGAACAGCAGGGGGTCTGCTGAGAACCAGTTATGTTGACATGAGAGATGAGAGTCAGAGCAGTGAGGCTGCCCAAGGTCATAAAAGGGTGGCAAGCTGGGAAGGTTAGGGTGGTTGGGGGGTTGTAAACAGATTATAACTAATCACTGGTTCTAGTCTCCCGGCTCAGCCCCCGTACAGCACATATACATAAACACTTATTTTCCTGTTTTCACACCCTCTGTGTCACACCAGCAGTATTATGCGCTTTTTGTCACCAGCGCTGTTGAGTATAATGACTCAGATTCATTTATCTTCTTTGCACAAAATTGAAAATAACTGCCTCAAAATCGTTTTAATGTCTTTAATATGCATTTTAATAAAACTCATTTCTGTCTGATCATTATCTGCAATGCATATAAACAGTTTGACTAAATGGTAACAGCCACACAGCAGCAGCTCTGCTAATGTCTGTTGCTTTTATGTTTAATGATGACTGCAGTACCATCAATCTGTTTTCCTAAACTACGGCCTCTGTTACTGTAGATGTTAAAGTCTTTTCAACAAAACCTCTTACCCATGATTGCGTTTTTTATTCCAAAGGGTAATTTCTCTCTCACATACAAACCTCTGATTATGTCCATCCACTATCTTTCAGTTTACTCTCTTTTTTCTTCCTCTCCTTTAGCCTCTTTTCTCTGTGAAATTGCAAAATATACATCCACGCACACACAAAAACATAGACATCTTCAACAATGGCTGAAATTTGATCATATAACATTATCATGTCACTGGCACAGTGACAAAGTTAATACTCATTCTGGCATCGCAAATACAGAACTGTCCACTGCTATTTTCTGAGATTTTCAGTTCATGATATGCAATAGTAACTAGTGTGTGTGTAGATACATTATAATATATGTTTACTGGTGTTCAATGTGTTGCCATATGGCCAAATCATGGGCTGTAATCTAGTTGTGATTATCGGAAACATACACACCCATTTACATGTAGTGCATATGATCGTGTGTGTGTGTGTGTGGGTGTGTGTGTG